CGGTTTAACGCAAACACACAGGTGTGAATGCGCCCATATACACACACACACACACACACACAGGCGCGAATGCGCCCATGTACACAAACACACACACACACACACACACACACACACACACAGGCGCGAATGCGCCCATGTACACACACACACACACACACACAGGCGCGAATGCGCCCATGTACACACACACACACACACACAGGCGCAAATGCGCGCATGTACACACACACACACACACACACACAGGCGCAAATGCGCGCATGTACACACACACACACACAGGCGCAAATGCGCGCATGTGTACACACACACACACACACACACAGGCAAGGCTCAAAAGCCTGTATATAAAATTTAAGCCAGAATATAGATACAAAATCTCACACATGCACAATAATAAACCACAATCACGCAATACAATCTTTACAATTAACTTTTTTCCCCTCATTCCGGTTTGCCTTGTATGCTAGGGTGTAAGCAAATTTTACCTAGATGATTTATAAATGGCTGAATACAGAACTCATTTTTTGGAAGTTAACAGTTAAATTATGAAAAATGACCCCTGCTCAAAAACCCATTAATCCAGATCTGAAAACCTTTGTATAAATGAAGGTCTTTTTATACAAGCTTGTCGATTTCCTTAACGACCGACATTTGTGTAACGTCAGTATTTTATATAGAAAAACACATTTTACTGAGGGACTTCATAAATATAGATAATGTGGCTTGTAAAACAAAGCCGATCCTTAGAACAGCATGAAAATATTAAAATAGCTAGCGTGGGAACCAATTTCCTTTCAGAGGAAATGGCATATATATATATATATATATATATATATATATATATATATACATACACACACACACACACACACACACACACACACACACATACATACACACACACACGATACACACTAAAATTTTCAGCTACCACAGCTTTATGGGGCCGTTGTAATAGCATTAACCTTAACTTACACTGCCCAGCTAAATAAGTTCACCCCGATTGCACATTTAAGACAATCCTAGATGTTTATGAACGTCCCTGTATGCTTGGTGGTGCCCTGCAGAGAATGTCTGAGCCCTGACCCACTCGCGGCAGTACAGGCAGCCGTTTCCTCTGTAGTCCCTGCACTCAGGCAACGCCGCGGACTTGGACCGGACTCCGCAGCAGCGTGACACTGAGATCCGGTCCAATTACACGCCGCCCAGCCCCGCACATGGGAGGGGAGGGGAGGGGGGTACGATCGTCTTTTGTTGTAACTGAAGTCTTTCAGTTAGCTGGGAAAAAAAGAAAAGTGCTGAATCAGCTCGGGGGTGTTAAAAGCCAATAAGACGGTTCGACAGCGTTTGTGCGCTGTGTTAGCATGCTAGCGCGCAAACAGCCGCCCCGCTCGCACTATTCCGTTAGCTGCTAGCTCTGTCGGCTAACACTTCTGAGCAGGCTAGCTAGCCCCTGTGGGTTTTAATGGTGAACAAAAAACACATAACACAGGGGACGCCGAGCTCGTCGAACCCAAAGGGCAGCCCGCCGACGGGCGAAATGTTCCTTCAACTCAGCCCAAAGTCCCCCGGTGGCAGTTTTAATTTTTTTTGTACTAAATGACCGGCTAGCGAGTAGCAAAGTGGTAGCCGGGAGCGGCTATCTAGCTGTTCACGCAAAAAAAGAGGGGCGGCCTGTCAGGAATTAAAACGAGCGACAAATACTGGCTTTGATAGGGAAAGAAATCCTGTGACAGCGCGGAAGCCGCGGCGGCTCCGACCCAAAGACCCTAAAGTAAGTTCGGCCGTCATTTAACGCCCTACGGTGACCCTCCAAACACACGCCGTGGCGCCAGCGCTGGACGCACAGCCCCGGCCAGCCCCCCAAACCATTCCCCTGTTTACAAACCCCCCACCCGACCGGAAGCAGGGCCACCCCACCGAAAAGTGATCGGACTCCCCCACCCGAGCGATGCCCAGGCAACCCTTTACCTGCGGCGTTGTACCAGCTGCCGGCGTGACTCGCTTCTCTGCACACCGCTCGATTCGACATCTTAGCGCCCGAGCCGCCTATCTTGGTCCAGTTAGCGCCTTGTCATTAAAAAAAGGAAAGAAAAGGAGTACCAGGACGGAAAAGACGGGAAGACACTAGTTCATCGGACACTAACAAGTAGTTAAAAGGGAGTGTGCTGCAAACGGTACTGTTTAGAGTGAAATGGAGATCAAGAGAGCGATATATAAACCTAAAACTCACGGAGCAACTAGATTATGAAAAAATAATGTACAGGAAAGGAAAAAAAGCACCCCGAAGATTAAGTAGGCAGACGGCAATGCTGACAGTTCGCAAAAGAACAAAAGCCAGCATCGGTCTGGTCGCTCTCCCCAGTAATGTACCAGGCTGCTGACTGGACGTAGTTTGGCATAATTCGGCTGCCGTCGTCATTTTAGCAGAGCTTTCATTGGGCAGTAATCCTTCGTACTGCTCCTATTGGCTGCAAGCTTTAGGCAGGTAGGGGCGTGACTTTGAGCTGTGCAATGAATTACGTAAGGCTTATTTGATTGGAAGACTGAAGCATTTTCCGATTATTTGGTTTGCGGAGAATTTGACAAGTGTATGCTTCGGACGAATAAGGTATCGGCAAAAAACAGAAACTGCTGGGATAGGTAGACATATTCCCGTGTACTCTTTTATTAACTTCAGAGTAAAAAGTATTAGACGGACTGTCCTTTTTCGATGTTTCGCAAAATTTGGTGATGTAGAGTTTTGATGAGGAAATGTGCATTCTTATTTGCGCATTTGTTTCTGCATGTCGGCATGCTGTTTTTCCATAATGTTCTGACAATACTTTGTCGTGCTTGTAATATTCAACATTTTCTTACCGCCACCATGTTTCACAGAAGAGCTTGTCTGTTTGGGATCATGAGAAGATCCTTTCGTTCTCCACACTTTAACCTTTAATTCACTTTTGTAAAGGTTAATCATTGTCTCATCAGTCGATAAAACTTTCTCCCAGAATGTATGAGTCTTGTCTCTGTACCTTTTGGCAAATTCCAATCTGGCTCTCCTATTATTGTTAATAAGTGGTTTGCGTCTTCTAGTGTAGCCTCTGTACTTTTGTTCCTGAAGTCATCTGCGAACAGTGGATTGTGTTACCTTCATTCCTGCCCTCTGGAGGCGATTGGTGATGTCACTAACAGTTGTTTTTGACAGTTCCTTGATCTACCAGTTCGACGTCTATTGCTCTATACAGCACTAATTTCTTTCCCCTCTTCAGGACATTCCAAATAGTTGTAGTGGCTATGCTCAATGTTTGTGCAATGGCTCTGATGGATTTTCCATTTTCTCACAGCTTCAGAATTACTGGCTTTTCTCCCATAGACAGCACTCTGGTCTTCATGTTGGTTACACCTTTTTAACTATGAACGCAGTTTGCACAGGCAAAACCTGAAGCTGAAACTGACAGTAGATATTCTGTGCTATGTGTTTTTTGAGGAATCAGTGTATTTGGATACACCTGTGCAACAAAAAACATGTTCAGTCCGATGTTCCAATAATATTGCTCACCTAAAAATTTGGTGTCCCACTACAAACAACGATATCTTCTAAGTTGTTCAACATATCTATATGTAAATACCTGAAAATTGAAGTTGAATTACTAATCTTTTGTCTCATATTTATCTTTTGATGTCAAATCCAAATGTTTTCAGTGTACAGCAAAAATAAAGGCCTCACTGTTCCAATACTTCTGGAGGGGACTGTACATGTACTACTAGGCCCAAGCCATGTGTGAGACTGCAACTGTATACATTGTTCCATAATCATTCACTTAACAGGCATTTTAGGTTCTTGTCCTATTAGATATTCTTAGCAACCTAAACAGCATTCTTTTGCTAGCGGTCTTCATGAAAGCCCCCCCCCCCGACCACTCCATTATGCTTGGTCCTGATGTTGAAACATTAGTTTACAGTAGCCACTTCTCAACTAAAAAAGAATTCACACTTACAAATTCAGCAACTTCCCAATGTTATTTGAAAGTAGTCACCTTGTGTCCTTTCATGATAATGTTTCATATTCATGCATGTTACAGACTGTTAAACTGTGCTAGATGAAATACAATTTTAATACATTCAGTGTTTTTATTCAATTTTTAGTTCACCAACCACCAGGGGGCAGTGTGTGGCTCAGCAGGCAAAGCCTCTGTGCCTGTGATCAGGTGGTCATCAATTCAAGCCCCAGCCTCAGCAGAATAGTTACATGTCCACTGGCCCCTGAGCAAGTCCCCTCAGCTCCAGGGGTGTTGCATACTGGCCAACCCTGCACTGTAACCACCCCCTCAAGCTTGCTCCTACTCGCATGTGTGTCTGTGCATCTCATGGAAAGAAAAAGTATGTAGGCAAAAGAGACACAGTCCAACACACTTGTGAGAATGGCAAATAAAGGATAATTTCACTCGAGAACATTTTTTTTTTTGATATTCACATACTTAAGTTGTTGGAAAAATTTGTTAAAAATCAACATCATTATGTTCCATGCTATTCAGCACAACTTGGTTAAGAGATGGTTTAAGAGGCTATGACAGTGCCTGTAAGGTTACTGGTTTGAATCTCATGGCCAGCTAAATTGTCATATTAGTACTGGGACCTTGTGCATGGCCCTTAACCTGACTCCAAGCTCCACACTTACCTGTATGGATGTGTTTAAAAGGTGAGTAAGATGGGATATGTGAAAGCCCAATTATCTCCATGTAGATGCAATTTTTGTTACAATTAAGTATCTATTAAAATTACATGTAAGATAGTAGGATGGCATTCAATACCTAAATAATGACATTAAATCAACTAGAAAAAACAGGCTTGTAATCCCCACATAATTTTATCAAGAATACTCCCAGTATTCAAAATAAACTACTTCTCTGCTTATCCACTTAATGTTTCAATGTTGATTTCAATACTAAACACATGGTGTCACTCCAGGATCACGTCTTAGCATTTCTGTGCATAACTACGAACAAAAGTAACTTTGCCCATATAGCATCTACTTTATTACCATTTTAAAAGAACTGTACAGTGAGCAGTCATGTTAACAGAAAAAGTAATGGGTCTTAAAAAAAAAAAAGGAAAAAAAGCATAGCAACTCGAGCTTTTCGGTTGCCTTCATTGAAGTCAATTTCGATCTTCGAACTGTGACTTGTTCTTGAGGAGATAAGCTGCTAAATACTCAATGGGGTTTGGAGGTCTATGAAAAAACAGAAGAATAGATTTTAAAAAGTCAACATGAAAGTGTCCAGTATAGCACAGGAGGTAAGAGATTTTTTTATTCATTTTCTTTGGAGTGAGACTCTTGTATTGGGATTCATCTTTGTGATGTTTCTGGATAACAGGGTTCCATTATCTTTGTGAATGTATTTATATATTAAGATTTTAGTTAACATGAAAATTAAGTGAATGACTAAAAATATCTACAGAAAATTACCTTTCCTTAGCCAGGACTGAAAGGCCCTGTAGAAGAATTGGCACAACAGTCTGGTCCAAATACGCCCGCGTAGGAAGCGACTGCAGGTCCACCTTCTGTTTTGAAGCCTTCTCTGCATTGGATTTCTCATTCTCTGCTATCCTCTAAAGAAAGAAACAAACAGAACAAATAAACAAACAAACTAAATGATTCTCTTTCACTGGGATGGCCTGCTTTCATGATGAAAACAGCTGATTATTCCCTACCTGTACATTTTCCGTGAGACCATATTCTGCATGTGGGTTTTCTACCACCTTAAAAAGAAAAGATATTTTAGAGAGAGTTGCAAAACCAGTGATTCTCAATATATATAAAGCACAGCTCTGTGAATAAATAAATGATCACTAAATACTTACAGGTGTGTGACCCTCCATGCTCTGTTCGGCATCAGTGTGATCTAGGAGAATAAATAAAACTTAAATATACAGATATACATTCTTGTAGAGTGCATAAATGTACCTTAACCACATTTATAAACAATTAGGGCTGAGTGGTATATCGTACGCATGCGCAATAATCGCATCGCATTTGTTGGCACTGCTTGTTGACAGTTCGCGGCAACACCAACTTCTTTGACACGTTCTTTGGTACGTAATAACAAACTTAATAAATAATAAGTTCTATAATTCCTTTGGCGTAATTTCTTCCCCTTTTTTTGCTTTATGAATATGGTGATATTACTCGCGGAAATGTCACAAATCGCGATGTGATATTAACAACACAGCATTAACAACTACCTTTACTGAATGGTTTTACTCAAAGTATCAAACTAATGAAAGCCAGCAGACTAAATATAAAAATAATTGCAGCACTAATAAAGTGCTGAAGGGCATGTCTACTGGGCAAATCTTGCGTTATGGATGTGATATTTAGACTCATATTGGAACTCAAAATCCCTCAGAAAAATGGACAAGCATAGCTTCAGAGTCCATTTGCATATCTTTTCATGTAATCTCTTGGGTCGAATATAGACAAATCCTAAATTGATTAATTCATATTACTTTACACATCAGAAATAAAAAGCATTTTATCAGTGTAATTGATATGACATACAACCGACTTTCTCGTGGAATCGCATTACTATTTACAACCTATAGAACAAAAAGCTGGACGCTGTCGTTCATTCATAACGTGCAGTTGTAGTAGTCTGATTTAGCGCGTGTAGTACTAATTCTAACGTTCGGTATTATACGTTTGAACCAAAGACCTTTTTTAATTGTCTGTTGTAGTGCTGCATACTTGAAAGGTATTATTAAACAAGCATCGTACTATATATGTTTAACTGATATCATTCATCACCGACCATGCAGGTCATCCCCACTAGACAGGTCGACATACCGATTTCAAAGTTTGTTACTATTACTGATACCTCCATAAACTATAACATACTATATAACAAATGAGCAGACATTAGTCCGTTAAAATAAGGGACAACACAACGTACGGTCGTCCTAGTGACGGATTCTTTTCTGTCTTAGCTACGTTTTTTTTCAGGAAAGAAACGAGGCGCACAATAAGTACGAAATTACCCACGAAATCTGCGAAACATGAGTATTTTTTCTCAGGCGAAGTAAACGTTGCTACCTTACCAAATAACATTTCCTCTCATTATTAGTCTTCGAAACTTTGGTAACGTATATTAAACGTTGCAGAAAAACCACTCACCGTCCGCCATATTTGTTGTCGATTTCTAACGATTACACACAGACGGGGTAGACCAATCAGAACTAGAATGTGAGAAGGCGCTTCACGATTGGCTGTGGATGAGAACCCGGAAGCTTTTCGCATGGTTCTTTTACAAAAGCCAGTTATTCTGATGGATAGATTGTTCTGCCAGTTTTTCATGTAAATTTATTTTCTTTACTGTTATGTATATTGTATTAATGGATCTACTTTTTTGTGGTGTATATATACGTATATCTACATATACTGTTAACCGGTATGTGTGCGTATGCGCAC